CAGACTGCAGGTGAGCCACAGCTCTCCACAGGCCCTCCGCCATCACCCCAGACTGCAGGTGAGCCACAGCTCTCCACAGGCCCTCCGCCATCACCCCAGACTGCAGGTGAGCCACAGCTCTCCCAGGAGCCTGACAGGCCCTCCGCCATCACCCCAGACTCCGGGTGTCGCTCCGTCCCTGAGCAGCGGAGAGCACAGACCGCTGCCAAGTTCCCACACAGCCGCCTCACCGCAGAGCTCACACGCCGGTCAAGACAAGCGCGCTCCAGCCCCGACTGAGCAGCCAGGCCCCCCCGCCCCCCTGGACACAGACCCACAGCATTCCCGCTCTCGGGTGACAGCGCCATGCCTCCTCCTGCAGCGATGCGATCACTTACCGTGAGTATATCTGCCGAAGGACGATCCTGTCAGCACAGATATACACACAGAGTTAAACCTCAGGGAGCCGCCCACAGCTGTGCTCTGAACGAGCTCTGTGGGAACCAGTTGCATGCACTCAACACACACTGGGGGGGGGGATCGGAGGGGACTTTTCCCTGGAATAACGAAACGTCCTCAAACAGCTGTGTGTCTGAGCGGAAACAGCCTTTCCCAAGGACGAAGCTGGGCTGTGCTCTGACCTCAACTCCCCCGGCCGCAGACAGGAGAGGAGGCTGAAGACGTCCCCCCTTCAAGAGCCTGACAGCGCCCGGGATCGCTCACCCCAGACACAGGCCCTGTGGGCCACGTTAAGTGCCAGAAAAGACCTGGGTCTGTACTGTATATCGGCTCAGGGCCCAGCCACAGTTCTGGGGAGGATCCTAATCAAGTCACGTGGTGTCTTGCCACTGTCACACTGTCAAAACTGAATAACAGTGCTGAGATTAAAGGTACAGAAGGGTGACCTGGAGGCTAGTTGGGGGGTACACAAGATTACGACAATCCACCAGCTCCCCACTGAGCTGCTCAGGCTGCAGTGTCGGGGGGTGAAACTGTCACAGTGCCCTCGTGCTCAGTCCTTGGAAAGACTCTGTCATTCAAGAAGCCGTCTGTGTTTCTTTCCTTCCTTGTCCGAAAATAACCTCCACTTGTTCACTACTAACAAGCTGCTCAGCATTTGGAAGGCGGGTGATCGGTAATGCAGAGACTCTGAGTTTAGCAGCCACAGGCTCTCGTGAGCAAGCAAACAGGCTATCGTGTTCGGAGTCGTCTGCTGCATCCAATATCCACCGCTGGCAACCTACACAAGAGCCCGTGGCTGTTACAACCTCTGGCGGATTTCAAGGCTGTGGGATCTACCGGTATATCTAAGACACGTTAGGACATACAAAAATGGAAGAGCACTCACCCACAGTCGTGGCAACACCAGAGCAGAGCACTAGCAGTACAGAGAGATCCATCCCACCTGTGGACCAGGGAAGAGCAGAGCTGTGAGACAGGCCTGCAGCAGAAGAGCTCGTTTCTGACGCTGAAACGTAAGAACTGTTACCAAAGAGAAGGAAGCGTTCAGGCTCGTCTGAAATGAGAATCCAGTCGGGTCCTGAAAGAAGCCGGAGACTTGGCTTCACTACATGGCTTGGCAGCTTGTTCCACACTTCTACCCCCCTTTGTGTAAAGAAGCACCTCCTGTTATGTTTGGAGGACCTCACCCTACTTTGACAATATGATGACCTCATGCACTTTTTTTTGACAATATCTTTCTATTGAACAGTTCTGATACTTATTCTTTGCTGCTTGGTAGAATTTCTAATTCCGGGCAATTTATACAATTTACATCAGGCCTATGACAGTTGGTGGAGTAGTGTTCAGCATTTCAGAGTTGCAGCACTCAGGCTCTGGGATCAATTCCAGTGTTGCTGTCTGTGTGGAGTTTGCATGTTCACCCCATGATCCTGTGGGTTTCCCCCAGGTGCTCCAGTTTCCTCCCACAGTCCAAAGACATGCTGGTGGGTTAATTGGCTTCTGGGAAAACTGTCCCTGGTGTGAGTGTGTGCATATTTGTGTTTGCCCTGCGATGGACTGGCATTTGATCCTGGGGTTACCCCTCTGTCTGTTGCCACCCTGAATGTGAAGCACTTAGGAGATGGGTGGATGGATAACAGACGTGCGCAGAGCAATTTACTCAAATCAGAAATCAGGAGGTGAATCGGGCTGAGGTGATCAGTGTAAAATGAAGTTGACTACATGACAGACTTGACTTTTTCTCACTCAAATCTGTGTCGATAACAGACTCAACAGGTGTGTGTCACATCACGACTGGGTCTGAGATGCTGTGACAGCACAGGTGTAGAAATAATAAATCACACACTGCAGCTCGCAAACCGCGGAGTGGATCACACTGCTTCAGGAAGGGACTCTTTCGAAGTGGGATTTCACTGCTGTTGGTTCCCCGAGCTGGGGGCTGCAGGGTCTGTTTGAGCAACTGGAGCTGCAGAGCTGGTATTTCACAGGCCTGCGACTCGTGGCACCAGTGCGACTCATGGTGCAGAGGCCCCAGGCATCTATTTGTGGAGTCATATTGCCGAGAGATGGGGGTACGTCCCGAGTCGGGGGGTCCCAGCAGACCAAGAGTGGGGTCACTGGAGGAAACTCCTCTTGCTCGTCTTTCACAGCTCAGCTCCTGCAGGTTTGGATCGGGTCGGGTTACCTGTGATTCAGGGGGTCTCCAGCCCTGGTCCAGTCCAGTCAGTCATACAGGTCCCCCTGAATCGTGTGTTTTTTTTTTAAGATTAAGAATACTTGGACAATCCCAGTGAGTGAATGGGACTCCCGTTCCACAACAGTTTGATCCATTTCAGGCTTCAAAGGTTGCATACACTACTGCTCAAGCAGAATAAAAGCATACAGAATATGTCCCACAGCTTTAACTACAGTACTACAGTACTGTACTACAGTATGCAGACTATCAGGTAAAAGACGCGCTGATACTAAGGCGTGCAGTTTGTAAACCCCGGCATGGATCACACTGCAACAAAATGGAAGCCTAGTGAGTTCTCTAAAAGTAAAAGCAGGCTTGATATTTAATGATTATCTAAAGAGGCACTTATTACGTTCTTCGGATAATCTTTACAGTTAGGAAAACAGATTGCCAACCGTCTTTAATGATAATGTAATGATAAATGTCGTGGATCTCACTTGCATAGATAACACACTGCTCTCTGCTCGCTCCTGCTGTCTTTCATGTAGCGCCTGATCATCCTTCAAGAGACAAGACAGTTACGGGACAATACGGAGAAGCCACGACCTTAGCAGAGCCCAGTCTGCGGTCCAGTTAGGGATCTCCATGATTCCTGAAGGTCAGCGCAGGGAAACACAGGGTGAGCGCCGGGCATTAACGCCACTGTGCTTATTTCAACACGAGGGGATCTCTGTTTTTATTCTGTTTTTCCTTCGTATCACTTAACAGCCAATACCACAAACACGACAACAAGTCAGTGCGAAACGTGTCGGTCTGTGGATTAGAAAATGCGCGGAACGAAATTAAAGGGTTTCATTTTAATTATAGTATCCGACTATCCGACTTCGGACTGGTAAATCGCACTTTCTCAATTACGCATGCGCCAGAGATAACCGAGAAACTAGTAATTACAGATAATGACTGTTTTCGTATTGTTGTAAACAGTTGTTTTTTATTTTTCTGTGAATCCTTCAGTAATGGAAATTTCTGTAATTGTAATCCCCCCCACACAAACACACACCTTGCCAGCACACAGAAATCACGTTTTTTAAATACGAGTTATTCAGTTTTTTAAAAAAATTGGTTATTTACACTGTTAGCAAACTGCAAATCTCGCATTTTACACTTCTGAACAGGCGCGGCTCGTGGCTCTACCAGGACTAAGGAGGGGGTGGAAAACACACAAACTGAACCATCTAGACTGGAGTATTGTCACATGTTTCCTTGTTGCTACTTTTGGAAACCCAAATAGCAGGAGGACAGGGCAATTAAAATGGAAGGTTTCAGAAAATGACTGTCTCTTTATCAAGGAGAACAATGAGTCCTCAGAAGACAGTAACTGACAATTAACTCCGAAACGACATCGGCTGTCGTGTATGAACTCTGTCATTTCCAAACCATAAATCCACGCGAGAGCGTGTGAAAGCCTTTCTGAAAGACAATCGAGGGGCGCTCTGTGGTTTCCTGCCCGGCTCCCGCCTCCCCTCACTCCAATACAAGCCGCATCGATGATATCTCGAATTTTAAGATAAAAGAAGATCGATGAGGTGACTCCATTCAAAGCGCCCGTCTATGAACTCTGTGCGATAACATATCGTGTTTCTATCGACCGCGTCAAGTCAAATAAAAAGAAAACGAAATATTTGAGTTGGTTGCAAACTAAATTTCAGTTGCAACGCAACACGCGGACAGATTAATAACTTCTCCTGATCGACGCTGTTACACTTATAAATTACGCCTTGATATGTACAAAATCCCCATGCATTGTTTTTAGGAAGATACAGCGGTGCGCCTCTGGCTGGTGTGTACGGTCCTGTCCGCGCTGCTGCAGTGCCCCCAGGTCTGGGAGAAACTTCCCAATCCGCTCAGTCCGCTCCCGCTCCTCGACCCGCTTCGGTTAATGACCGGGATCCTAAAGCTACATTCTCGAACCCGCCAGCGTTTAGCTAAGCCAAGCGGCGGAGAACAGACGAGATTTTCACACATATCATGAACGCAACAAGTCCCCCTGGTGTGCCGCCCCAGCACCCCAAAACCACCCCCGTCCCGACGGTCCAGACCTGCGCAAGAGAGGCGCCCCAGCTGGCTTCCTCGCGGCGCAGCGGAGACGCGAGAACTCACCAAGCAGAAGCGCGCGACCACTTCCCAATCCCCCAAAACACTGAGATTTCAAAAAACAACAACAACTTTCACTCCCGACGGCAACGTCCCAGGACTGTGCGCCGGTTCCTCTCGGTTCGTGCTGTGTGGCTGGCGGCGCCGAGCGGAGCGCGTTGTGAGGCACAGGGACAGCTGGGTCTCCGTGTAACACAGTCCGCGGGTGGATCGTGTCCAGGTTCAAGTATAGCGGAGGGAGGGGGCTGGGGACGGGCTGCGGTGTTGTTGTGGGGAGGGGGGCTGCTCTGGGCAGGAGGAGGGGGAAGGGGAGGGGGCAGGAGAGGAGAGCGGAGGGGCAGACTCCCAGACACTGCCTCTCAGGACAGTAACACACACGGTTACAGGCGAAGCGAAAGACCGGCCTGGGCTGAAATCTGTTCGCTGCTCGGCGTTTTGTTTTAAGACGGGCCTGTCTCCAGTCCCGGGGTGCGGGTGTGCTTGTTCCCCGCTTCTGGGCGGGCTGAGCGCCGCCTCTCGCTCTGTCAGAGTTTCAGAGTTGTCGGCGCTTCCCAAACCCAACAACAGGACAGCCTGTTCGCGTGCACGCTGATCCCGGACTGTCCGGTAATTTAGCGAAGTTCTGCAACCGCAGGCGCTTCGCCACCGCTGGCGCGCAGCTGCTGTTCACTGCTGATGTCAGTACTAACGTACCCAACGCTCCGCTCCAATGAGCCCGCGAAGGGAAAAGGGGAAAAGAGAGTTTTCCCCAACTTCACTCCCGGCAAGGTGCCGCACCCACGCCACGAGCTCGGGCGCCTCTCGTGGGGAGGCAGTGTGGGAGCCGCGCGTTCTTAGGCAGCTTATTGCACAGCGTGACGGACTCTGTGACTAAGCGCTTTTCGCCAGGGTCACTCCCCGGGCAGAGCGCTGTCCTGGGAGTCCTAAGTACCTTCACGTAGTGTGATGGCTGCATGTAGACCAGGGATCGCCAACCCTGATCCCCCTGTATGGGCTCTTGGTGACCTGAATCTGCTTGTAACTGACTTAATTACATCAGTTCTCCCAGCTCTTCAGGCCCTACTGCTGTACTTTAAAGACAGACACAGACCTTAACCACAGACACACTGACAGGCCCTCCGGGACCAGGACTGGACAGCCCTGCAGACACACTGACTGACCCTCCAGGACCAGGACTGGACAGCCCTG